GATGCTGCCTGGCCTGCTGTCTTCCTCCAGCTCCACACTGTGTTATCTCAAAACAAAATTTGTTTTCCAAGTACATCAGAGGCACTTAGAGGGCACGCAAGTACCTAGGATGAAAATATCCCTGCTAGGTGACTAAGTTCATGGAAAATGCATTCACAATTGAGAAACAATTGAAACAGCATTAATAAGTGCAGCAGGTTCAAAACAAAATCACAGAAGGTGAAGCTGATTAAGGAGGAAGATGTTTAGATCTTTAAAATTACATCAGCTGGGCTGATATTTCTGGCCAGTCTACAGAGGCAATGATTCTCTCTGAAACAGTAATTGCAAGATAATTTATGAGCTAGGAGCTTCTGTCGACTTCTGGATAAAATAACTGCCATTTAAATATTCAGTGTTTCTCCTGACTACTTAAAATGCAAGTTCTGAGAACCATGAAATAATTAAGAGCAGCCATTTTAATGAACGCTGGAAACATTTAGCATTGCATTTTCTAAGCCTGTAAGAGATAATGTAACATTAAGAAATTACACTGTTGACATTAGAAATGTAACATAAATTGCTATTGATGATTATCCATATTTTAAACCTTCTCACATTGTAAGGATTATTTTATGAATACGTATAACGTCATTTCAGATTTTTAAAAGGGGTAATGAATTTACCTTCAAATTTCAAAACAAAATTTGTTTTCCAAGTACGTCAAAGGCACTTAAAGAGGACACAAAAGTACCTAGAATGAAAATATTCCTGCTAGGTGACTAAGTTCATGGAACCATTTTACAAAAAAAAACTTTGTAAAATAACATGCATTAACAGTTCTACCCACACTGAAAATTAAAACTTCCCACTTAAAAAAAGGAAGCCAAAATAGCATCCTGTCTATTAATCAGAAGTCGTATTTAACCATTGTGTTTTGGTAGTTTGCGATGTCTCTGTTTTTAAAAAGAAGTTTTGTAATTAAGCTATTGCTACTTTTGTAATTTTACTTAGAGATTTATTATTTTAGTGTAATAGATATCATGAAGCTAGATGTGTATAGAATAAAATTCTGATGAGATAACATAATAAGGAGCCAACTCAACTGTGATCCAAAACAATATATAATATTTCTAGTTATTCCTACTGCTGCAACAAATGAGTTAACATAAAATGGAGATTTAAGATTTTGTCTTCCAACTTTTTGTTCTCCTTTCCTGAAAATTAATGCTTAAATTGGGTATAGTTCTAGAGGAGCTACCAATCCTCAAATATACTATTTATCAAGTGTATAAGTCCACATGTGTGTTAATTAATTACATGATAATCAAAATGATATCAAATTAAAATCCAGGCAAATCACGTTATGATCACTTGGAAACATTCCTACTGCCACCTTTACTGATTTCTCAATACAAACTAACATCAAACTTTGGACTTCTGGCCCACTGGCATAATGCATACACTCACCGAACTAAAAGCCCTACATCTTCATAACTGTGGCATTAGTGTCAGATTATCAAGTTACCAGTGCATAACAAATGTATTGAATCAAAGTAGCAAACACTCATATTCTAGTAATTAACCTGTTGTGTGACAGGCCATTCTTGTGTTGTAAGACAAATTGATTCTGTTCAAACTATGATTCTTTGCATAATGCAACTTTTCTCATGTTTTCAGATCAGTCCATTAAGACCACAAAGACCAAAGAGCCAGGTGCTTAATATGTCAGCTGATAAACGGTTGACTGCACCACCAATATCAACGCCAGTAACTCCCAAACCCAAGTTATCCTTCTCCTTACAACCTGGCCTGAGTAAGTATTATGATATTTCTCAAAAGGAATTACATTGACAGCATTTATTTAGTTTTGTAAGAGCTAAGTACTTACTAGCACAGATCCTTAAGAGAAACTGAATAGCAAACAGCATCCTGTTCAGCGAATGCTTTCTTGGAACAAAGTTTTTTGGATTACATTCAGCAATTTACCTTTTGTAAACCCAAACTACACTGGTTACTGAAAGCGCTGTCTGTTTTAAAAACAAAGCATTATGAATGACATACCCTCATCACACCTGTTTTCATTGCTTCTTGTTGCAACAACAATCTTAGTGATTCCGTAATTGGAAGCTAGCATTCATTGCGAGCACATCCAGACCTGTTTTTGAAGGCTTCATGTTTCATCATTTTGTGGACTTGAGATGGAAGCATTTTTGTTTTAATGAGGTCAATGAAAGGACATTGGAACTACTTCTTTAAGAAGGCATCACTTGGTTGTCGCATGCCTTATGATAACTGCTTTTTTACTGGAGACTGCTGGCCTTAGTTTATGTCAAGTTCCAGTTTCTGCTTTGGATATTAGTTGGAGTGGTTGTGGAGAGGCCTGCTAAAGGAAAGAAACTTCACAGCTCAAGTCTCCTATTTCTGGTAAAGAAACCCTGTTGTGGTCCAACTTCTCTCGCATGAGAAGCCTCTGACAGAGTTTGTCAGTTATTTCCTGAACAACTGCATCTGCAAAGGTCCCCAGAGACAATCGCAGGTGTTCGGTGACATACATCTTTGTGCATTTGAACACCTCAAATCTTATCCTTTTTGACTTAAAGGACTAAGACATGGAACAAAAGTGTTTTTTTTTTTAATGTAGGCAGAAAGAATTCTCCTCTTTATTCCCTTTACATGATGTGTGTGTTGTGTATGTACTTTAGGGGTTATTTTGAGGAATAAGCCTATATAGTTTTATATTACAAACGCTATGCATTAACCAACTTTGCATAGTTTGTTTGTAATGGAAATCTGGTCAGTGGATCAATTTTATTCTATGTTTAAGGTAGAGAGAGCATTCAGTTGACCATATTGCCTACTGGGTAAAACAATTACATTTATGTTGTGATCCATGGAATAGTGAGATTAGGGAAAGACAGTGCACACCAATCTCAACCATAACAATCTTCAACCATTAAGATTTGAATCTTGTTATACTTTGCATCTCATAATACTTCCCACTTCACAAGCTGAAAGATCATGTTGGAAGTATTAACAGCCTAGCTTTGTCTTATATCCCATTGCAAAGTTCAAGGAATCAATTGCAAAGCCAGTGTTGCTTAATGCAAGAAGTCAGTGTTCGTTCAGATCTCCTGAAGTCATGTTAAAAACTACATTATAACAGGGGACAATATAACTACCCACAACTGTACGCAATACTTCAGCTGAGGCCTAACAAGTGTCTAGTACAGCTTCAGCATCACTTCCTTGCTCTTGTACCCTATACCACTCTTAACGCAGTTTGCTTTATTAACTTAACTGCTCTTGTCATCTGTTCTGCCACCTTCAGTGATCTTGTAACTATCTTACCTCTGTGTTCCTTGATACCTTTACCTGATAAAAATCTAGCAATCAGTCTTGAAAGCGTCAATTGTTCTAAAATCTTTAGCCTTCTGCAGCAAAAAATTCAAGATTTCTGCTATCTTTTTAGTGAAGAAGTACAATGTGGACCAGCGTCTCCAATGCCTCTCATGAACAAGAATCTGCAATGCTCATCCATTTTCAGATGCAATCAAATTTCTAGGCCAACATGTCCATCTGATGCACAAAAAAAATATGGAACTACAAAGCTGAAACAACAGAATGCAAGTTATTTGAAGATAAACTGCACAGTGCTCAGGGCAGACAGCATCTGGAATACTATGCTTATTCAAGTGCTATTCAAATAGGGCGGTGCTGGCCTAGTGGTATTATCACTAGCCTATTAATCCAGAGACCTAAGTATTGTTCTGGGCATCCCAAATGGCAGATGGTGAAGTTTGAATTAAGAGTCTAATAATGACCATGAAACCATTATTGATTCTTGAGAAAAGCCCATCAAGTTCACTAATGTCCCTTAGGGAAGGAAACTATTGTCCTTACCGGATATGACCTACATCTGATTCCATACACACAGCAATATGATTGACTTTTAAAAACCGAAAGAACTGCAGATGCTGTAAATCAGAATAAAAACAACGTTGCTGGAAAAGCTCAGCAGATCTGGCAGCATCTGTGAAGGAAAAAACAGAGTTAGCATTTCGGGTCCGGTGACCCTTTCTCAGAACGGATTGACTTTTAACTTAATTAGGGATAGGCAATAAATGCTGGCCTTGCCAACAAAATCTGCATCCCATGAGCAAATACACAATGGGTAGACCAGGCTAATCCATAATGTCAAATTTTGCAAATTTTAAAAAATATTATTAAATTTTACAAGAATAGGAGAAGACGACACAGAGTTCAAACCACTTCCAAAACGTAAATTTACGACTGATATCAGAACTTTTTCTTTACTCTGTGACCAATATTATAGTCTTTCAGTAAAGGCAAAATCTCTGGAGTTCATTCAAAACAATTGGCATAGAAACAATGCAGGAGTTTTTCGGATGGGTGAAATGAAATGAACCATAACTATCTTGTGATCGGGTACATATCTTTTGAAGTAGTGAGGTAGATGATAAAGCATTATTTTTACTTAAGTTTGACATTAGTGGTTTTCTAGGTGCAGGACAAAGAGTACAAGAGCAAAGATGTAGTGTAAAAAAATGCAGATCATTTATATGGTTGCAGCTAGGATATGTTGTCCCAACTTAAGCAACCTATTTCGGGAAAAAAGTCTATGCTGTGGAGAATTTGCAGAAGCAATTTATTAAAATGATTGTTTGGAAGGGAAATCTAAGTTGTAAGATACCAGTGAAAATCTTCTGAGAAGATTTGATAAGGTTGGAAACAGTTGTTTATTCTAATAGGTGTGTCAGTAAGGTAAAGGAGAAAACAAGAAAAGGAGAAGTAAAAACCTTTTTTGTATTAAAGTATTGTTTGAAATTAAAATACCATACCTGGAACTTTGATGGGAGCCAAGTACTTTATCATCTACGTTTCGCTGGCAATGGCCGAGTTGTTTTATTGAATCTTGCTTGGTTTAATGCTCAGTACATCACTTATGAACAGGATTAAACTGGAACTTAAAGGGATTTTGATGACAGTCTATCTGGTCAGACTCAGATGATTGAAAATATAAAAGTCCTGAAAATGTGGTCTATCTTTCATTACTTCATCATTGATTACATAGTGGACCCCTTCAGTGGAATTGGCTGGTAAGCTGATCTGACAAGAACTTTCCCTTTTCCATTCTTATGCCACTGTTAGAAACTTAATAAAAGTTTAAGGTTTGTTCAGTGAAGTGTAACTGTGTTTATAACAGCAATCTGAGTAATACCTCCTGCTGGACCACTGATCTGGCTCTGAAAAATATATGGAATGTCTATAAATGTCTGTAATATTGGCTGTGTAAAATTATTAAGATTTGATTGTTAATGCTTTACTTTTCATAGTTGGTTGTCAGTGAGTAATGTTTATTGTAACTGAGTGCTTGAGAAGCTTGATGACATTACTGCACCTGAACTCTGGGATCCCCTATTGAAAACACTACAATCAATTTCACATAAAGAATTCAAGTCCTTACCACCGAGCTCACTAATTCTATCAACGAGGCTTTCTATGAGCTCTGCAGCAAGCAACCTTGCTTCACCACTACCACAAAATGCAGGCCATGTTGTATGAACTCTCTATACAGAATATAGCATATTGAAGCTCGAAATTGAAATAGATTACATAAGGTTATGACTACGAGCCAGTGTTGCAGCTTTAATTAGGTTGTTTAGTTATTTCATGACTAATCTTACCATGCAAGACTAACAGAAAATCATCAAAACAAGTGACAATAGGTTTCAATTCAAATGTTTTCTTTTCGTTTGTTGAATTAAACATGTATTGAAAATTTCAATAAATGACAAAAAGGCTTGTTAGTAGTTATTTTTATTTGGAGACAGCGCTATCTTTTTACCTGAGTAGAAAAGTTACACAGTATCTCACCAAAAATATATATATAACACAGCCTGGGATCAAATAATGTGTTATATATTTTGTGAAAGAGGGATGAGAGACAGAAATGGAACGGCATTGTTGTATGCATGCAAAATGGAAATGGCGGGAAAAATGGGAAAGACAACATCCTTGAACACAGCAGGCCAAGCAGCATCAGAGGAGCAGGAAAGCCATCGTTTCAGGCCTAGACCCTTCTTCAGAAATGGGGGAGGAGAAGGGGATTCTGAAATAAATAGGGAGAGAGGAGGGAAGCGGATAGAAGATGGATAAAAGGAGAAGATAGGTGGAGAGGAGACAGACAGGTCAAAGAGGCGGGGGTGGAGCCAGTAAAGGTGAGTGCAGGTGGGGAATTAGGAAGGGGATAAGTCAGTCCACGGAGGATGGGCAGGTCAAGGGGGCGGGATGAAGCTGGTAGGTAGGAGATGGGGGTGGGGCTTGAGGTGGGAGGAAGGACAGATTAGGGAGGCGGGGACAAGCTGGGCTGGTTTTGGGATGCGGTAGGGGGAGGGGAGATTTTGAAGCTTGTGAAGTCCACATTGATACCATTGGGCTGCAGGGTTCCCAAGCAGAATATGAGGTGCTGTTCCTGCAACCTTCGGGTGGCATCGTTGTGGCACTGCAGGAGGCCCAGGATGGACATGTCATCTAAGGCATGGGAGGGGGAGTTGAAATGGTTCCTGACTGGGAGGTGCAGTTGTTTAGTGTGAACTGAGCGTAGGTGTTCCGCAAAGCGGTCCCCAAGCCTCTGCTTGGTTTCCCCGATATAGAGGAGGCCACATCTGGAACAGCGGATACAGTATACCACGTTAGCAATTAGCTCGACTCCATTTTCTCCCCCTTGGCCCAGCAACTCCCCACCTACGTCCGTGACACCACCCACGCCCTCCACCTCCTCCAAAACTTCCGATTCCCTGGTCCCCAACACCTCGTCTTTACCATGGACATCCAGTCCCTATACACCTGCATTCCCCATGCAGATGGCCTAAAGGCCCTCCGCTTCTTCCTGTCCCGCAGGCCCGACCAGTCCCCCTCCACTGACACCCTCATCCGCTTAGCACCTTCCACCACAACCTTAAGTTCACCTGGACCATCTCTGATATCTCTCTCTCCTTCCTGGACCTCTCTGTTTCCATCTCTGGCAACCACCTGGAAACCGATATCCATTTCAAGCCCACCGACTCCCACAGTTACCTAGAATACACCTCTTCCCACCCACCTTCCTGCAAAAATGCCATCCCCTATTCCCAATTCCTTCGCCTCCGCCGCATCTGCTCCCACGATGAGACATTCCACTCCCAAACATCTCAGATGTCCTTATTTTTCAAGGACCGCAACTTCCCCCACTCAGTGGTCGAGAACGCCCTCGACCGTGTCTCCTGCGTTTCCCGCAACTCATCCCTCACACCCCCTCCCCGCAATAACAACCAAAACAGAATCCCCCTCGTCTTCATGTACCACACCACCGACCTCCGGACCCAATGCATCATCCTCCGACACTTCCGCCATCTGTAATTCGACCCCACCACCAAAGACATTTTTTCCCTCCCCACCCTTATCTGCGTTCCGGAGGGACCACTCTCTCCGTGACTCCCTTTTCCGCTCCACACTCCCCTCCAGCCCCACCACACCCACCACACCCGGCACTTTTCCCTGCTACCGCAGGAAGTGCTACACCTGCCCCTACACCACCTCCCTCACCCCCATCCCAGGCCCCAAGAAGACCTTCCATATCAAGCAGATGTACACCTGCACATCTGCTAATGTGGTATACTGTATCCACTGTTCCAGATGTGGCCTCCTCTACATCGGGGAAACCAAGCGGAGGCTTGGGGACCGCTTTGCGGAACACCTACGCTCGGTTCGCACTAAACAACTGCACCTCTCAGTCTTGATCCATTTCAACTCCCCCTCCCATTCCTTGGACGACATGTCCATCCTGGGCCTCCTGCAGTGCCACAACGATGCCACCCGAAGGTTGCAGGAACAGCACCTCATATTTTGCTTGGGAACCCTGCAGCCAAAGGGTATCAATGTGGACTTCACAAGCTTCAAAATCTCCCCTCCCCCTACCGTATCCCAAAACCAGCCCAGCTTGTCCCCGCCTCCCTAAACTGTCCTTCCTCCCACCTCAAGCCCCACCCCCATCTCCTACCTACTAGCTTCATCCCGCCCCTTTGACCTGTCCGTCCTCCCTGGACAGACTTATCCCCTCCCTAGCTCCCCACTACACTCACCTTTACTGGCTCCACCCCTGCCTCTTTGACCTGTCTGTCTCCTCTCCACCTATCTTCTCCTTAATCCATCTTCTATCTGCCTCCCTCTCTCTCCCTATTTATTTCAGAATCCCCTTCCCCTGCCCCATTTCTGAAGATGGGTCTAGACCCAAAACGTCAGCTTTCCTGCTTGGCCTGCTGTGTTCATCCAGCTCTACACCTTGTTATCTCAGATTCTCCAGCATCTGCAGTTCCTACTATCTCTAAGACAACATCTTTCTTTTCCACATTCAGGCATGAGTTGAGCAATTTATGTGTGTGTCTGTATATGTATATGTATATATGTAAATGGAATCGAAATATCTATGCCTTCACATTTAAAAGGAGGAAAATTTCAGCTGCATAGGATAAAATCTCTGTAATGAACAGGAGAAAATTGTGCATCATTTAGAACTCAATGTTAAAGGAATAAAGCGAAATGAATCAAATTAAAACACTCAAATATTCCTGAGATTTAATTATTTTTCACATTCAAATTAATTGCACAGCTTGAGCTATAAAAATAATTTTTACAGTGTAACTAGAAGCATTATTTGATAGAATAAAGTCATTTGCCATATTTTCATAATACTGGCCAAGTAATAATAGAACTTCTACTTTACCATTGCCCATTAACTGACTTGTGGAACATATGCTTATTGTAAGAAATATTCATTCTTTATAATCAATACTTTTTTATAATATTTAAGTTTCACAGGATACTGTATGTAGTTCTAGATATATTACATTCTTTAATATTGTTTGTAATTTAAATTATGCATTTACTTGTTTGTACTTTATTTTGTTCACAGTTTGTGTTTCTCAGAATGTATTCAAAGAAGTTGCATTTTACAATTTCCTTTGTATAGAGGAGAAAATTTTGCATGCCAAATGAAATCTGATTAAAATTGAAATACAATTTCAATACATTCTTTTCTAGATGTAGATCTCAATGGCTCAGATAATCCTGAGCAGACTGGACTACCACCTCCTCTTCCTCTCAAAAGCAACTCCAGTGATTATGGGACTCTGACCGATAGTCAAGAACCTGCCATTTCTATCACACCTGTACAATCAAGGGTAATCATCTATCTAAAGTCAATTAGCAAAATTTCTCTCCCTTCTTTTCATAATTGCAGTATTTTTGAATCAGTTACCTGTATTCTGAGAAATTAATGCTTCTGGTATGTCTATTTAAGTACGTTTGATTGCTTTACCCATTAGAGCAAAACTCTGAAGTTGCAGTTTGCTTTGTTTAATAAATTGATACTAAGGTTAGTTAACTACTTATATTCATTTAACTGTATATTGAACCACTAGCACCTGACAATCTTAGCAGCTTTAAAAGTTTCACAATTAAACTTCAAAAATGTCAGATTTAATTTGAATAAATTTTAGTTTGATAAACGTATTGACACACAATTTGCTGTAGCAAGATATCTAATTGGTATTTTGTTAAACTTGTTTTTGCAAGTTTAATTTCTTAAATGCTTTTGCAAGGCAAGTTGCTGAAGTGTTAGTTGACAGTGCCTCAGCAAGGGGACGGCATCAGGGTAGCAATAACCAATAAAACTTGATATAACTTATAAAATAATATTATGAAATAAAGAGAAAAAGAGGAGCATGAATGAGTATGGGAAAATTCAATGCCCAATCAGGTACCAAATTAAGAAATCAAGAGGGGAAAAAAAAGGACAGTTTAAGGGAGAGAGAAAAAATGGCTGAAAGAAAAATGATTTTGAAGAAGTCAAACAATTTCAGATATAATTTATTTTAAAAAGAGATATTAAAACATGAAGATGTATGAATCCATGCTTTTAATAGTGCACTTTCAGAGCCTGAGGTGTTGACGAGAGTAGTTAAGATTTATCACATCACCAAGAGGGTACTTAAACTGAATTAGATAAGGCTTAACTTCCTGCAATCAATTTAGTTCATATCTACTATATCAATATAGAAACGTTGCATCATTTATTGTTTTTTCGGTGGTGAGACAAAAAAAACAAGATGTAATTTTCAAAACTCCCAATGCAACTCAGAATTCCCTGTCGAACAGCACAATTGAAGTTGCAGTATAATTTGCATAAATCCATTCACCGTAATTGCTGATAAATCATCTTCTGCATAATATAAGATGATCATGTTTAACGGTTTAGCAAATAATTCACAAATATCAGCACTGTTCTTTATCCTTGTACGTTTGTATGTTTGTCATAATTTGACAGCATTAAATCTATTTAAGATTATATTCAATTGAAGCCAAGGTTGCTATCAGAGTTTCTGTAAGCGAGAGAAACAGCTCACTAAAATGATTTTCTTTCCAACAGCTCCCACCACCTCTACCAAGCAAGACACCACCTCCTCCTCCTCCTCCAAAAGCAACTCGGAAGCAAACTTCTGTAGATTCTGGGATTGGACAGTGATTTATTTCACAGAATTATTTACCAATTCTAGCTACACAATTCCATTTCAAAAGACAAAAATTGCAGTCTGCAAATTTATTTTCTTGGCTTTCAAACTGAGGGAATGGAACAAAATTATACATCTCATTTAGATCAACACAGTCAACAATTGCAGTGATTCCAAGTACAACAATGAGACATAAAGTATGTACTTTAACCAACAGATTCTGCTGCTGAGCTTTAAATATTGGTTTAGAAACTAATTTAATGGGCTGGATTTTGCAGTCAGTGGCAAAATGATGTTACCCACCATTGACTTTGAAGACACTATGGTGTGAATTTCATCTTTGCTAACATTAGTTTCAAACTGGTGCCAAGTTATGAAAATCTCTAGAGATCCAGCAGCAGTAATAACATTGAATAGAGTGAGCAACCTGTTACATTGGAGTATGCTCACAGCACCAAGCCAGGAAGGAAAATGCACTTAATTATTTTTTAAATTTCAGAGTGTGTGGAGTAAATGATTGGTCATAAATATTAGAAGCTGGAATATCATAAACATCTAAGGAAAATTAAAAGCTAAGAATTTTTCGCAATGGAAAAAAATGACATTGCACAAATATAATGTTAGTTTTCTAGGATGAAAGAGGTACACTGTTGAAATTAAATTGTAGCTCATTAGTAAGACATTATGTTTTGGGAGTGCGGGGTGTTCAACAGAAATATTACAATGTAAAAGATAAAGTTCTGATCAGTTCAGTGATTTCTAATTGATTACAGTCTTCAACAGGGACTTCAACAGTGTTGCCTTTGGAGAAGCATGGAGTCATTTACAACAATTTCCATATTTCCATGTTTAACTTTGCATATGTAGATTCCAAAAATTGTTAGTTTCATAAATGTAATGACTGAAAACATGATCAGTTTCACCATTATTACTACTGCAACATCCGGACCAATGACTCTGACTAGAAAAACACATGCATATATTACTTTTATTGGTTTCAGTTTAAGTAGCAATTCGACACTCCATTCTCAGATATAAAATTTTGCTTACTTTTCAAATAAGACGGGTAAAGTAATAGTCTTTGAAACCAATTACTGCTTTGTCAATGGAGTGTAATCATTATGTACAGAGGTTTGTATATATATGAAGCTGAAAATTTTAAAACTCCTTTTATTACAATTGCTTAGTATAATTCTGCAAATCGATTTATTCCTAGTAAGAGCTTTTTAGAATTTTAAAGCTTGTTGACTGTAAACTATTGGTCATATTTTGCTAAAAGGTCATGTTTTAGTTGTATTTAATAGGGTCAAAATGGGAAATGGAATATGCCAACTAGCTCTTTCTACAGTTCTTTTCGTATGAGCTTATGATTTCTAAAATTAATTTTTAACATTTTCTGTAATCATGATATGATTGAAACTAGAATAATCAGAATTCACTACTGACTCCCAAAATAAAAACAAAAATGTTAAAAATTTCAATGTTTGAATTTTCATTGTCTATTAATTAGGCGCACTTTATCTGGTTAATTCTCAGACTTCAGCTTCACACGCTATCTGAATGGTTTTATTGAGGGAAGATTTTCTCTGGCCATAATAAATATGACAAAGACTACTCAATAATCCCAACAACAATTCCACCTCTTATTAATTCTGATTTCAAAGCTCCATATTCACAGCTTCCCACTAATCTGTAGAGATCTATGGATTGCCGTGGATGCTGCACTCATCTAATACATAGTGCTGTTTCATGAACTTCTTTGGTGTTCAGGTTAAAGTAATTGTCAATTCAGAACTAAATCAAAAATATCCATTTTTATTTTAAATCTTAGTGAGCTACGACAGCATCAACAATGCTCCCAATTTATATCATGTTGGTATCCGTTTGTTATCAGTTTCTGATTTGGTATCTAGTTTGGAAGCAATTCGGTATCTTAAGAATTGTTTTCCTTTAGATGCTCAATGTTATGTTCTCTTTGGCCCACCTCTGAAATTAAACCTTCCTATCAATATTATTTCTGATGAAATGTTTTGGAAATGTGACTATTTTCCTTGCATTGAAGGCTTTTAATTTTGCAATACACTAATTCCGCAGAAGTGTACTGTGTATTGAAATGTTTCAGTGGATTATTCTGGAAAAGTGGAGGATTCCTAACTTCTGTCACCTTTTTCGAGTATTCATTAGATGGATCCCACTAATCACATGAATGAATGATTCCCATTGCCTTTGCAGCTTTACTGAACAAATCCCACCATCTGTGGCGTGAATAACGATTGTTGTTCTGTTAATAGCTTTTCGAAAAGAATCCAGCTCTATAAGTTGAGTCCTGTTGTGTGTTGCTTAAATAAATGCTTTTCACCTTTACCACAATTTAAGAAATGGATTTCCTATCTTTTCTGCAGCCTCAATTGTCTCCTAACGTTCTTCTATTTGTCTTTGTCTGCTTAGGCCTCTAAATTGCCCCTTTATCACTTTGTTTTTGGCTTTGCAATGTTCCTGAATCAGTGACCTCATTTCAAATTGCTTCTGTGAACCTTGACTTCCCTTGTATCTATGCCTTATGATGCCCAATTTGAGCACTAAGTACTGCCAAAACTATTTGCTTTCCAAGTGAGTATTTGGTACCATTTCTTAAAGTTTTCCCCTTGCCCAAGGAATTTCAACTGAACTCAAGATACCTCTGTTGTTCGTTTGCTCTCTAGCTGACCCTTAACTCCTCAGGATCCCTTCAACAGACCATCAGCACCCAATTGAATCCGTAACTGTCTTGGTGTGACTGATGCTTCATTTCCATGGACTTCCTAGCTCACTCTTACTGCTGCACATCTTTTACCAGGTCAAAACTGCTTTTTTTTTACCACTTGCTGTAGACTCTACCTTGTTAAACTTTGCCATTAAGTTTTATTCTGCAGGGCTCTTGAATGTTCAGCTCTTCCAGCTGCTGACCATCTGCATGAGCAGCCGGTTTAAAGCTGCATCCAAAGAAGTCTTCAGATTTGCACCATAGCAACATGTATGAGGAAGCTAGAAAGAGTCTGCATTGTTTGCCACTTCTAAGATAAATTCACTGCTCATCATAATAAAGGAGCCATAAGGAAGATTTGCCACTTCCATCCTCTTTCCTAGTAGGGAACTGCAAGACCTGCTTTGGTAGAGAAAACCCACTAGGTAGTCTAATGAGAAGAAGCAAATATCTTAAACAAGGTGTAGTTTATACCATGATAGCAACTCGGTACAAGTTTGATTAATATGATAGACAGTGTTACAGAGACTATGAGAAAGACATGGATAGTAGGTTTTACTCCTTTGAGATCCTCAATTGTTCTCCCACTAAGTCCATATGACACCATCATTTTGGGTAGTGCTTAAGACAGTCCTCAGCAGTGAACAACTGTGGGTTCCCTCAAAAGTCCTGGTTAGTGTGCAAGAAAAGAGTCAATGGTTTCCAAGTTACCAGGGTCAGTGGCATCCTCTCATGTTAGCAAAGGGTCTCTTGTGGATTAACTGAGTAATATATATTTGCAAATAGGCAATTGAGCCAGGTGGGTGAATGTGCAATTAGCCCAAGTAGCTTATGGCAATTGAAGCAGAAGCATGAGAGAGTTTGGCTTGGGTGAACACTTGGATCCAATATCCTACTGACAGACTAGTATGTGCGATAGCTGGTATGTGTGCAGACAAGGAAGTTAGGTGTCACTTGACATGTCAGAAAATCTACATGTTGTCATGCACAGAAGGCAGAGTCACACCCGTGAAACACCTCAGCCTATTTAGCAGATTAAAGACAATATGTAAGTGCAAATACTTGCTCATCTGCCTACTTCTGTGCTCCTCCAAACAGCTGTTGCTTTTGCACATTGGATAAAATAGTACATTATCATTGCTACCACTCCTTCCTACGAGCACTCTACTCCCAACACTATGTGCACACACTCTGCCAGTTATCACTCTCTGTGCAGCAGTTATCTTCTCTTCAGCTTGGTTCCATTGGCCAAGTTGTTTCCTTTGAATTTATTTGCATGGATATTTTATACAAACACATTATTATTCAATTTTCAATTTCTCAGGAACTCAATTTCATGTTCATTTATATAAGTTCAGTTTCAACCTATAACCCTTGATTACCTGTTCTCTATCTTTGTTCTCTAACTGTTTTGTACCAACTCCATGTTCCATCCCTTGCCAAGCCCATATCGCTCCCCTGTCTCAGTTCTAAACCCTGCGTTAACATTTGCTCTCTATTCGTTTTCTAGTCTCACTCTACTTTCCCTACAATTTGCAATTCAGTTATGCACTGTAGATTCTTTGCATCTGGGTAAAGAAATTAAATTGGATGTCATAGATGTTAGTGCTACTAAACCATTAGAAGACTTACATTAAAAAAAAATTAGTTCTCCAGATATGAAGTCATGACTCACCGTTCAAGTTAATGTTTAACAGAACTGGGTTCATGTAACACCAAGACACCCTCTTCTGAGAAATTTCTCCCTCCTCAAAGTGCACATTTTTTTCACAAATGACTGCTCGATAATTTTAAGCAAGTAATTTAATGTTTTCTTTGCAAGGTAAATCTTGACACAAACAAAAAAAAACAGCAGTTACATTAAAGAAGGTATAGAAAACCTCTATATGTGCTATTCCCCGTTAATTTATGAAAGCATCAACAGAATAGTGACAGTTAACAGCCTTATCTCTCTTCAACTTGCTTGTGGTTTGTATGTCATTCAGTGGATTTCAGCATATAAAATATAGCTGTTAAAAGATGCAGGGTAGCAATCACTGCCTTAGGCACAAAAGAAAATACCTTCCGAGGAAAGTTGACTGATGGATTGATGCAGGAATAACCCACACCGTTGCCGTAACATTATTTAGACATTTATTGCATGACAGAGAGCAATGAAATTTTATATCAGCTCCTTGCTGTCAATAAAGGTTGCTGACAAGGCCATGCACTTAATATCAAAACTCACTTATAAGAACAGTTTAGGATATTTATTATTTAATTTTATATATGTTTGCAATAATTTACCTGTGCTCCATTTCTCAATGTACAAAACTGCATAATTTCAGTCATGATACATATTAATATCTGAGTCAAATCAAGGAATAACTGGTAACCAGTTTGGAAAACAAAGTAGAGGGGAGAGCATGCTCCTGTCTGCATCAATGGTGCTGAGGTGGAGATGGTCGAGAGCATCAAGTTCCTGGGAGTAATGATGATCAACAATCTGTCCTGGTGTACCCACATCTACGCGATGGTCAAGAAAACACAATGCCACCTCTACTTCTTCAGGAGGCAAAGGAAATTTGGCATGTCCACAAGGACTCATCACTCTTTACAGATGGATTATAAAAGCATCCTTTCTGGATGCATCGTAGTATGGTACAGCCACTGCTGTTCCCAAGACCTGAAGAATCTACAGAGAGTTGTGAACACAGCCCAGTCCATCACGCAACCCAGCCTTCCATCCATTGACTCTGTCTATACTTCCCACTGTTTCAGGAGAGCATCCAACATAATCAAAGACCCCTCCCACCCTGGTTATACTCTCTTCCACACTCTTCCATCAGGCAGAAGATAAAGAAGTTTGAATACCTTCCAAACAGATTCAAGATCAGTTTCTTCCTGCGGTTATCAGACTTTTGAATGGACCTCTCAAATGTTAATTTTGATCTCTCTCCTCTCTGTGGCTGTAACACTGAACTATTCTGAACTATTATCAGCTACGCTGATGCACTTTGCATGGCACGGTCTGCCTGTATTGTAAAACTACACTTTTCACTGTATCTCAAGATGTGATAACAGTAAATCAAACTCAAATGCAAACTTTTTCTCTGTATGTACTTAAATATCTACACCAAAAATATTACATCCAATTCAATTCAAAGTGCATATTATAGAAAAATACTTGTGGAATTCGCATACATGTGCATTTTACTACTCAAACATTTTGTTTATTCTACTCCAGTTTATTTAATTAATAAATCAACCATTTTATATAAACTTTACCAATAAGTACGTTTTTACATAGCATTAATTTCAATTTCCATATCGTTTTGTCTCTTTGAAATTATTCCTTGATTTTAAACTATTCTTCCTTTCATTCCAGCAAAAATATATATCACAATAACACATTCTTAACTACAAGTATCCCCTCTTCCATTATGAAATATAACATCCCACTTCCCATGAGGAATGTAAAGATTTGTGGTATAAAAATCATATATTTATATTTGTTTGCATTTTTCACTTATATTTTTCATTTTTTGCTATAAGCAATGTCACAGTGATCCACCAACAATACATTAAAACAGTATAAAAGTGCATGTTTCCTGCCCATCATATTGCACTTTGTCTGTCATGCTAAGACATCACACATTTTGGTAGCTTCAAATGAGACCAGCTACAACATACATAAAATGCTTTCAGCTTTGCACTTCAGCGTGAGAGGCTAATTCTGAGAGTAACAAAGGGATGTAC